CCCCCCCCCCGCCCCGCGCGCTCCCGGGCTCGCCCAGCCCCGCCCGGGGGCAGCACGTACCGGGCTGGAGCCGCCGGGCGCGGCCGGACTCCCTGCCCCGGGGCGCTACATACCGCTGGGCCGGGCCCGGGTCCCGCTGCTCCGCTCCCGCCGGGGCGCTCCCAGGCCCGCAGGGTCCCCGCGCGGCTCGCTAGAGACGCGGCCTTCGGTCCGGGGACCCCGGGGCGTTCGATTGGGGAAAGTGAAAGTGACAGTAGAACGTTCGGACCCGTCACGTGGGCAGGCTGGACCCAGCCCTGACACAGACACTGGGAGCAGCGCGCACTTCTCGCTGCGCTCGGCTCCCGGGGCGGGCAGTGGGTATGAAAATATCGAGGGGAATTGCCTCTTCTCGGTCCTTCCCTCTCCCATTTTCCTCCTTCTCCCCCGGCCCCTATTTATTTTGGTCCTGGACATCCAACTCCAGTCATCTGAAGCAGCGGGCTGTGCCCACCAAAGCTCTTATCCCATGGACATGTGTTGTGAGTCTATAAAGTGCTACCAGATCACTTGTTGTTTTTTTAAGTGTATCCTCTACAGACGAACTCTGCTGTCCCCTGAAGCTGCTCTAGATAGTTAAGACCAAAACAGACTGTGAAGAGCTTCAAATATATCTCACTAAACTAACTGACTGGGCCACAAAATGGCAAATGAAATGGAATGTGGATAAATGTAAAGTAATGCACATTGGAAAAAACAATCCCAACTGTACAGACAATAGGATGGGGACTATTTAGCTACAACTACTCAAGAGAGATCTTGGAGTCATCCTGGATAGTTCTCTGAAAACATCCCTCTGAATGCAGCGGCAGTGAAAAAAGCAAATAATGTTAGGAGTCATTTAAAAAGGGATACAGAATGAGGTGGAAAATATCATATTGCCTCTATATAAATCCATGGGACCAGGGGGTAGCCTGTGAGCCTAGGCAAGCTAGGCAGCTGCCTAGGGCACTGCTGGCCCAGGCACCCAATGATGATGTCATGAGGCACCAGGGTGCCCCATGATGACATCACGGCCATTGATGCCCGTGCAGGCAGAGGCATCACAATTGGCACTCCACCCAGAGCACCAGGTGCGGCAGCCGGCCTCAGGCCGCTCCTACATGGGACGCCCACATTTTGAATACTGTATACAGATGTGGTCGCCTCATCTCAGAAAAGATCTTCTGGCATTGGAAAAGGTTCAGAAAAGAGCAACAAAAATGAGTTGGGATTTGGAATGGATCCCATATGGAGAGAGATTAAAAAGACTGGGACTGTTCAGCTTAGAAAAGAGGAGGCTAAGGAGGATAGGATCAAGGTCTATAAAATCATGACTGGTGTGGAAAAAATAAATAAGGAAAAGTTATTTACTTATTCCCACAAATATAAGAACTAGAGGTCACCAAATGAAATTAATAGAAAGCAGGTTAGAAACAAATCAAAGGAAGATTTTTTCATGCAGTGCACAGTCAACCTCTGGAACTCCTTGCCAGAAGATGTGGTGAAGGCTAGGGATTTAACAGCATTCAAAAAAGAGCTAAAGAGATTTATGGGGGTTAGGACCATCAATGGCTATTAGCCAGGATGGGTAGGAATGGTGGCCTTAGCCTCTCTTTGTTTGGAAATGGTAGAAGAGGGATCAGGTGAGGATTCCCTGTTCTGTTCCCTCCCCCTGGGGACCTGGCATTGGCCACTGTGGGCAGACAGGACACTGGACTGGATGGACCGTTGGTCTGACCCAGTCTGGCTATTCTTATGTTCTCTGGTGAGCGCCTCCCACTGCCGGGCCTCCTGGCTTGTCCCATTCCCAGATGCTTATATCCCCCTGTAACTCAGGCTGGGGGCTCACAGCATCGTGCCAGGGATTTTCTGGGCAGCTACAATTCCAGGCAGAGCCGTTTAGCGTTGCAATCCCCCAGCCCCTGACTGGAGTTCGCTCCTTGTCTCCAGCTAAGCAGCAGAGAGGAAAGCTCCCAGGAGGCAGCAGCTTCAGGAGCTTGGGGCCCGGTGTTATGTTCAGAAGCACACAGGATCTTTTTCATGGGAAAAGGCAACATGCTGCATTTATTGCAAATACAGTAGAAAAACAGTTAGCGTCTGCTTCATAAAGATAAGTGTGTGTCCCCCCTCACCACACACAACGTCTTGTCATTGCTTAAAGTTACTAGGCTGTTGCTCACATTAACTCACTGGCCAGGCGAGTTCAATGTGAGGGGCAGGAGCACGGGTTTCTCTCGGTCCGGACCGACACTCCAATGTTGACGCGACCTGGAGATTCATGCAAGACGCTCCATGTCTTATAGGACTTTTCTCTTATGCAAGGCTATGCATTTTGCTTTGTCAGCTCTTAATCAATGATAATCTGTTCTGCTTAATGTCTGTTTATCTGGGCATTATTTGTAACAGAGCGCTTGCTTCTTCACACTCCAAGCTGTCCATGTGTCCCCCAATAGTCTTCTTTGCTTTTGGGCCCAATTTATGGTACGTTTACTCCTCTGAGTCTCCTCCCCTCTTCCACTGTCTGGACTCTGAAACTGTTGGGTATCTAAGTTGTTACCTCTCCACACACTCTCATTCCATTCACTCTCCCTCCCCAAGAACATTCATGAGTGAGCGGCGTCTCCCCTTCTATCAGGATTGGGACATTTCTCTGCCCCTTTGAGCTGTTTTCGCTTCAGCCTCATCTTCCACATGTTTTATTTCCAGGCGCCCTGTTCCATCCCTGTTCATTTCTGGCTGTCTCTTCCACTCTCCCCCGATCCCTCTCACAGACCCTTATGTTCTCCCTTCTTTCCCCTACGTTTATACCCTCCCTTCCCAGCCGCTGGCAGTTTTCTCCCCCAGGAACTTGTTCTTTTGTTTTCTCTATTACCTCAGGTTCAGCTCCTCCTGCACCATCCCCTCATTTTGAGGCCTGTCCCCAGCCCCACTTCAGTTGTTCCCTACCCAGCCCCCATGTCCCAGGGACTCAGGCTGAGCTGGGATCCTGACCCCGCCCAGATCCAGGGTCGGATTTTCTCCCCAGGGAGGGAGCCTGGCAGGAAAGTGAAGATCGAGGCCTCGGTTCTACCATCAGTAAATGTCACCTGCCCCCCCATCCCAGTCCAGGCAAACCCGGATCCTGTTGGGGGCTGGCTCAGGATCGGGGGGGGTCACAGGGTCAGTGAGAGCCTGGAACTGATCCCCCCACTGCCCAGATCCCACCTTCAGGGCTGATTTGTCCTTTCCTTTGTCTTTTCCGGAAAAGCGCGTCTACATTGGCCACGGACGCTTTTCTGGAAAAAGGGCTTTCTTTTCCGGATATACTTATAATGAAAACTATTCTGTTTTAAGCATTTCTGGGAAAAGGTGCCAGTGTAGACATAGCCGATGTGTGTGTGTGTGAAAAATACTGGTGCTCTATGTTAACTTAGGTGGTTAACCATAGATTTCCATAGGACGGCTGCTTTTTACTTCTGGATACTTGAGTACAATTAAGATGCAATACTTCTGTACTTTTACACCAGGGCTGTGTCTACACTGGCACCTTTTCCCGGAAATGCTTAAAACGGAACAGTTTTCGTTATAAGTATTTCCAGAAAAAGAGCGTCTACATTGGCAGGATGCTTTTCCGGAAAAGCCCTTTTTTCGGAAAAGCGTCAATGGCCAATGTAGACGTGCTTTTCCAGAAAAGAGCCCCGATCGTCATTTTCACGATCGGGGCTTTTTTCCGGAAAAGACTACTGGGCTGTCTACACTGGCCCTTTTCCGGAACAGTATTCTGGAATAAGGACTTTTGCCCGAGCGGGAGCAGCATAGTTTTTCCGGAAAAACACTGACTATTTTACAGTAGATCATCATTGCTTTTCCGGAACTTCAAGGGCCAGTGTAGACAGCTTGCAGCTTATTCCGGAAAAGTGGCTGCTTTTCCGGAATAAGTGGCCCAGTGTAGACACAGCCCAGTAGTTTTCCACAAGGATACTTTGACTTTTAATTATTTTTTTTCAAACTAGCAGTATTTTTACTCAAGTAACTTTTTTGGGAACTTTTCCCACTACCATATACAGGCAGAACATCTGTCATGGGCTCATGACAGATGTCGCACTTGCAGAAGTCTGGGGAGCCTGGCATTGTGAAGAGTCTTCTCTTTGTCTTCTTAACTTTTCTGTCTTTCTTAACTACAGGGTACAAACAGCTGAAAACAAGCGGCTTTGTTTTCAAACAGCACAACTCCCACATTCTATTACCACTAGAACTATTTAACTGACACAACTAGAAAAACCTCTTATGTAGAAACTAACAGCTAAATTCCTGTGTCTGACTAGAAAAAGCCCCTGAGGAGAAGAGCTCACTCTGTCTGTGACGGAGGGCGGTGAAGAAAGATCTAGCAGGAGGCAGACCGTGAGTGTGAGCAAAAGGGTGCAAACATCATGAGGCGCCCACTGTACAGTCCAGCCAACTACTGTTAATGAAAACTCCCATCTGCGGCGCTGGGATGACCCGACATTACAGGGGAGCACCCACGGTGACATCAGTTGAAGAAGAACATTTATTAAAGCAAACATTTCAGATAAGGTTCCGGGTGCGCAGTTGACAAAGGAAGGCTCCGTACATCTGTGGTCATGCCTGAGTTATGGGAAGTTCCTAGTATCAATGTAAACAGTTTGCAAGATACATAGCATCAGTAACCAGCATTATCCAAAACTGAGATATGAGAGGGGCCTGGATTCCTCATACAATTCCCCTCTGGTGAGCGCTTCCCACTGGCTAGCTTAGGCAGCTCCCTGCAGGGCCTGCTGGCTTGTCCCAGACACTCCCATCCCCCGTCACTCAGGCTGGGGGCTCACAGCGTCGTGCCAGGGATTTTCTGGGCAGCTACAATTCCAGGCAGCGCCGTTCAGCGTTGCAATAGCCCAGTCCCTGCCTGGAGCACGGGGTCCAGCTGCTTTCCTGAGCCCAGCTGGCCCCCGAGCGCCCAAGTGCGGGGGAGGAGAGTTAGTGAGGGGCAGAGCTGTTGGTTTGGTCATTTTCTGCGACCTGATCTGAACTCTCTTGTGCTTTGTGTGGTGACGTGACTGAGCACTGTGGAGTGGGACTTGTGTGAAGAGTCTCTGTGTCTGTGCGTGTCTCCGGAGAGAGATCACCTTGGCCTGGAGCTCTGGGAGATGGGAGCGGGGTTTCAGCATGTGGGACTCTGAAGGGTCAGATTGGCACCAGGGGGACACAGCTCAGGCAGGGCCTAGAGGACCACCCCCCAAGAATGTGCCCGGGGACCCCAAGATTGGGGCAGAGGTTGGGCCTCTGATTTGGTCCCGTTGTTTCTCCTGATTTTATCCCTTCTCCTCTGGCTGTCCCAATGGACCCAGATCTCTGCAAATCGCCTCCTGCTGCTGCAGAGCCTCCAGCTTCCCCCAACCCTGATGAGTTAATTCTGTGTCCTGCCACCCCCACCTCCGCCTGTCCCCAGCCTGGCCCCCACCTCCGCCTGTCCCCAGCGAAGACCCCACTCCGGCTTCCCCAGCCTGGATGTTATGTCTGCCCCTGCCCAGCCTTTACTTCTGTCCTTCAGGGCCTGTCTACTCCCTGGGGCTGCAGTAGGTTTCCTCCACCTCCCTTCTCTGGATCTGCGAGGGAGGGGGAGAGGTTTCAGGAATCATAGAGATGAGGAGACAGCGGCAGGGTAGAGGGGAGTCCTCCAGACTGGGGTGTGTGAGGCAAGAGGGGCTGGTGTCAGGGAGACAGTCGGAGCTGGAGTGATCTGTCCCTCACCCAGAGCCAGGGTCGGATTCTCTCCCCGGGGAGGGAGCCTGGCGGGAAAGTGAAGATCGGGGCCTCGGTTCCAGCATCGATAAATGTCACCTGCCCCCGGTCACAGTCCAGACAAACCTGGATCCTGCTGGGGGGGCTCAGGGGCAGGGGAGTCACAGGGTCAGTGAGAGCCTGGAACTGATCCCCCCACTGCCCCACAGCCCAGATTCCACCCTTGGGGCTCAGGCTGATCTCTCCCTTCCTGCTCACAGACTCTCTGGCCACCCCCATAGCCCATCGCCCACCCCCCACCTCCACCTCCACCTCCCAGTAATGTCTCCCCGAGGTGAAGCCCTCACTGCCCAGCACACAGGGCACATAGTCAAATCTCTCCAGGGTGTCGGGCCGTGGCTGCCGTGTCCATGTCCATCTCACACGTTTCCCATCCCCCAACAGGACGAACCAGGGATATGCGGTGTCTGGATCCAGAGTCACATTGGCTGGGGGAGAATCAGAGCATGAGGGGCAGAGCTCGGCCCTGGGGGGGTCGATGGCGTCAGGGACAGAATCTGCCCCAGCTGGGCAGTGACTCAGGGACTCTCCTGCCTCCTGGGGCGCCCGGCTCTGAGTGGGGAGCAGCCTTGAGGTCTCGGCCCAGCCCAAGGGGCAGCTCACTCCTCTGGCAGGGAGGGGCCGTGGCAGAGAGAAGGGATCAGAGGGGCCCTGACACTGGGAATCTGCCCCCCTCTCCCTGGGCCGGGGACAAGCGACTCCGGGCCGGGGACCCCAGAGGGACGGGATGGAAACTGCCTGGTCAGGGCTGGCTGAATCCAGGCCCTGCGCTTGGCTGGGCCCCTCCCCATTGAAATGTCCCTGGGTCCCAGCTGCTTCTGGGCAGGGTTTGTGATTCCCCCTGGGACACGTCTCCCGCGAACGGCCCGTCTGGGATCGACTCCTTTCCCGCCGCACTGGGGCTCTGGGCTGAGCTCCGACCTGCCCCACACCAGGCTGCTCAGCCTCCGGCTGGCGGCAGCAGAGACGTCTAGCCTGCTCAGCCTCCGGCCCAGCGCCCGGACCCCGCAGAGCCAGCGGGGAGGGGCAGGGACCGGCCCCAGCTGGGCTGGGCGGGGAGAGGCTGGACACAGACCCCGCAGAGCCAGCAGGGAGGGGCAGGGACCGGCCCCAGCTGAGCTGGGCGGGAAGAGGCTGAACAAGGCGAGTCCTGCCCTGGGGGTGCCCAGGCGCCGTGCGGAGGGAACGGGGGTGTCTCTGTCCCAGCCATGGCAGGAGGCTGACTCAGGGGTGACAGAAGGAAGAGAGGCCCCAGGGAGCTGAGAGGGGTCCCAGCGGGGGTTGGGCGGAGGGAGAGAGAAGCTGAGCTCACGCGGGGGGAGAGGAAAAGGGGAACAGGACCAGAGCTCTGCTCTCAGCAGCTCCCCAGCTGCCTGCAATGGGCCCAGGGCTGCCCCTGTCTATTCCCCGGGCCCTGGTGCTCTGGGGTCTGATCCATCCCTTCCCCTGACAGAGCAGGGACCCTCCCATGGACTCTTGGGTCCTCTGCAGGGGCCAGGAGAAAGAGCAACGTCCCCGAGTGCCCCAGAGTCCATGCTGGGCACAGCCCCTCAGTCACCGGGGGGAGAGAAACTCCCCTCTTGGACCCTCTTTCCCCACTAGAGAAGAAGGGGAGCCCAAGGCCAAGAGCTGCCAAGGAGGTCAGGCCAGGCCTGAAGTGAGCAGGTGAAACAGACATTGCCAGGAGGGAGGGACAAGGGAGCTGTCCTGGAGGGGAGAGGGGTAGAGACTGGTGCCCAGAACCACACTTGATAGGATTGGAAAGGAGATCAAGGGGAGGGCTACGTGGCTAGGACAAGGGCAGTGGGGCAAAAGGAGGAAGGGGACACGCAGGCGGCTGTAAATGGCCTCCCCACTGCTGAGTGCAGCCAGCGTGGGAACAGAGCCTAAGAGGCTTTTTTGGTTCATCAACTTCATTTCCATTTTATCTGTTCGAGGCCTCATTCTGAGGGGCAGGAGCAGGAGATGCAACAACCGCTGGACTCAATGCATTTGGTGGGACACAGCCCCAGAACTGGCTTCTCCTTGTGAGCAGGGTCTGAGTGGGAGGGGCAGTTTTCAGGCACAGACCATATTGGCACAGATCCCCCTCCTTTGCAAAGATGCTCAGCGATGGAGCAACTTGTCCCAGCGCTTGGTTCTGGGCTGGGTTGCCAGGCACTGCAGTGAGCCGTGTGAGAAGCACAGCCAGGAAAGTAATTCTAGGACCCCCCCGGGCTGTATTTTCTAATGTACACCTGCCCCCCGCTCTCAGGCACTGGGAGACGCTCTCCACTCAGTGCTGTATTTGCTTTGCACAGCCCTCTGCGGAATGTCGCATGAGGGGCTCACCCGAATATCTGAATGGCATCATCTAAGTTTGGGCTCTTGCTGATCCTGCACCGTTGGCGTTTGACACAAACTCTGCGGCTGTGGCTGATCTGGGCCTCACACTGAGATGTTTCCCGCCCTGCACGTCCTGCACACTGACACACTGGCTGGGCCGACACTGCCCACGTGATGGGGCCCTGCAACATCCTTATTCTCCTTGGGGAGAAGGGCGAGGGAGGGATGGAGCAGGCCCTGAGGGAGGGGAGCTCACCCTGGACTGAAGCTCCCTGGCTAAGCAGGGGGCAGGAGTGTCACATCCCAGGGAGAGGCAGAAGTGTGTGTGGGGGGGTTGGTCTGTGCGTTGCCTGACCCCACTTGGCTTTTCCCCCACCAGGGTTCCCACTCAGCTGACTAGATTCCCTGGGGCCCGGCCTTCCTGCTCCTGGGCTGGCAAAGCTGAATCACTCACAAGCAGGCCGAGGGGCCGAGCCTCCGAGCTGGCCTGGGCACCACGCTGTAGGGAGGGGCAGGGCAGAGGCTGCCTGAGCAGCGAGGGTCCCTGCGACCCAGGGAAATCACCAGGGGCTGGAGCCAGTGGGAGGATCTCAGGCCAGGGCATCAAAGAGGCAGCTCTGAGCAGCAGGAGGAAGCCGGGGTGCAGAGGCAGGGGGCAGATTGAGGAGGCAGAGGATGGTGGCAGGGAACCGGTGGCAGAGGCAGAGGACAGCGGAGGAAGAGGGTTGCAGAGGCAGGTGGTAGCAGAGACATCACCGACTGCCCTTCTGTCTCTCTTAGGGGTGGGGGGGGGCGCCCATGGGGCAACAACTCTGGGTCGGTGCTGCCAAGGCTAAGGCTGGGGACACGGCCAGGGACCAGGGGCCGGGTGCACGTGAAGGGCTGCAGCTGCGCAATGGGGTTGTGGCATTTCCCTGGGTTACTGCTCGGTGCCTCTTCCCTCATCACAAGTGTCTTCTGTTACGCTCAGACCCAGGACTTATGCGGGGGCCGGTATGGGGAGGGGGGGACCTGCTGCCTCCTAGGGCAGAGCAGCCGAGCCCAAAGAAACCTGCTACTGCTCTGGGCCAGCCCACACTGGCTCACAGGGCCTGGGCTGCGGGGGAGGGGGGGCGTCATTTTCCCAGGTTACTGGGGAGGGGTCAAACCAGCTCTGTGAGGTGTTATTAAAAGGGACCCTGGACACTGAACCTGCTGCTGGCTGCTGCCAACATCACAGGGCAGAAGAGTCGTGACCTGACGGCATCTTTGAACTGCAGCTGCTGGTGCTGACGCCCTGAAATCTCAGGCCCCAGCCTGCTCCCACAGTGAAGGCAAAGGAGCCGCATTGTCACATGGGAGGGGACATCTGAACACTGACAAACCATGAACGTCAGTTACCTTTTTCTGCAGAGAATGCAAATCTTCTCCAGCCTGAAATGAAGCAGAGAAACCCAGCTGAGAGTAATGGGAGCACATACTCTATCTCAGAGAGACCAAACCACGGCCCGTGAGCCCCACCTGCCCTGCCGACTCTTCTATCTGGCCTTGAGCCCTCTCCCTGCTTTCCCCTCTCCCACAGTCTCCGTTCTTCATGCCACCTGCTCCAGGCTCCTGGCAGTGTGATGACAACTGTGGCCGGGCAGCACAACTGTGGTGTCACAAACCCTCATGTTCTGGGTGGTGCAGTCATGGGGCGCGGGAGTTGAATGGGGGACGGTAGTCCGGGGGTGGGGTGGTCGTCTGGGGCAAGAAGCACCGTGGGTTGGATTGGGGTAGGCAGTCCTAGGGAGGCAGTAAGGAGTCAGAGAATGTGTGTGTGGGGGGGGGGGGTCCCTGTCTGACTCTTCCTACGATTTCTGTACCCTGATGTGGCCTCAGGCAAAAAAATTTGCCCACCTCTGCTACATACACAGGATTCAACACTGTACAGACTGACACCATGCGGAAGTTGGAAGTTCTACATTTCTAGTAGAATTTGTAATAAATCCAAAAAAAAATCAGAGCTACACAAACACTGCATGAGCCTTTTGGTTGTGTTGTTTTGTATTTCAAACATCTCCACTGCCTGTGGAATTAGTCCTACTAAGTTACAATTAAACTTTACCTGCAAACATGTTACACTTACAAATGAGCCAGGAAACCTATTTAAAGCAAGTTCCTGCTCTCATTGAAATCAATTATGCCTGCCATGAATCCTGTGGCTACAGGGGGTATTCTAAAAAACAAGCCAATAGCCCATCATATTTGGGTCTTTCCTCCATATCCTATTCCCTTTCTATCTCAGTCTTCTCTCCTGAGCCTCTGGTTTCTCGCTCCATCTCTCTCTCTCTTCTCCTATTGCTCCCCCCCCCTATCTCTTGCTCTTCTCCTCCTCCTCCCGCTTCTAATTCTCTCTCTCTCTCTGCTCTCCTCTGCCCTCCTCTCTTTCTCCGTCGAGGATGCACGCTCGTCCAGGCCCCAACCTCTGGCCATTTGTGCCACTTGCTCCCAAGTGGCAGCTTGGCTGAGTGGCGCAGAAGTCAGCTGAGCGCCACTGCGGAGGCAAAGGACATTACAGAGGCAACAGCGCCACCCAGAGGCAACATACAACGTTACACCATTACAGAGTGACAGACATTGGGCTACTATATATGATGAACAAGTATGTGGGGGAAGGGTTTCTTACATTAATCTATGAGCACTTGCTTTTTGTTTGATTACGAGTCAGAGTCTCACCCTTCTCCCTCCCCGAACTGTTCATCTATCTTGACCAAAAGATGATTCACATCATATTACTTCATTTTATTTCATTGCCTTTTCAGAACTAAGGTTAAAGCTCAACTTCTATTTCTATTCAAAACTGCAGTACTTTTTAGTACCTCAGATATTATCTTAAGTGACCTTCTGCCATGAGAATTCTCATGCTTACTCTGAAACCACAATGAATTTTAAAAATTGTATTATAAAAATGACACAAAACAAAACAAACCTCTACAGGAACCAAGCCCCATGGTGAGGACACACCTTAGCACAATAGGGTTTACATGTAGGGAGAAGGAGAATGACACTTACTGAGTTCTGCTGCCTGGTTCTCTAGAAAACAAGGAGAAATGAATCAGTGATGAGTGGGGGGTGGGGTTTCTCTTTCCAAGATCTACATGCAGGGTGGGGTTTCCAACACTGCCTAAGCAACTACTCACTTAGGCGCCTTTGGAAATCCCAATTGCCAAGAATTAGACACACGAGGCTGAAATTGGCCTGTGCTGGGCAGGGCTAATGCAAGACCCCCCTGGACCACTCGGTGCCTGCGCAGGCAGAGTGGCTGTGAGCCAGAACCCCGTGCCCCTCCCAGCATGTCACAGGCAAAGTTTTCATACTGGCCCTAGAATGGTTAAAATGACGGAGACTTTGATGTGTCCCACCAAGATAAAAAGGTTGAATTTCCCCCTTCTCTTGCCTGCGCCGTGGGTCTGTGTCAGGGCTGGCAGGCAGCACCCAAAGCTGTAACACAAAGTGAAGGCTGGTGGTAGCTTGTGCCCTTCCAGAACATCATCGAATCCCAGGGCCAGCAGAGACCTTAGGAGTCATCAAGTCCAGCCCCCTACCCAACTAAACCATCCCAGCCGGGGCTTTGTCAAGCCGGGACTTAAATACCTCTGGGGACAAAGATTCCATTCCCTCCCTAGGGAACCCATCCCAGAGCTTTTGCCCACCCCTGCCACATACAAAGGATTCAACGTTGTTTCTTACGTTAATCTCTGAGCACTTGTTTTTTCTTTGATTACTAGTCAGAGAACCAGCCTCCCCAGAACTATTTATACATCTTGACCAAAAGATGATTTGCATCATGTTACTTCATTTTATTTTATTACATTTTCACAACTAAGGTTACGGTTCAACTTCTATTAAAAAAGCAGCACATTTTAGTAGCTCAGAATATTATCTCAGGTGACTTTTTGGCATGAGAATTCTCATGCTTACTCTGATACCACCATACTTTTACAAAGTTATATTATAAAACTGAGGAAAAATAACCCCATACGGGAACAAAGCCCCGTGGTGAGGACACACCTTAGCACAACAGGGTTTACATGTAGGGAGAAGGAGAATGACACTTACTGAGTTCTGCCGCCTGGTTCTCTAGAAAACAAGGAGAAATGAATCAGTGATGAGTGGGCGGGTTCTCTTTCCAGGATCTACGTGCAGGGTGGGGTTCCCAACACTCCCTAAGTGACTAGGGAGTCCCAATGTCCCCACATCACTTAGGCACCTTTGGAAATCCCACTTGCCAAGGGTCAGACACACGATGGCTGAAATTGGCCTGTGCTGGGCAGGGCTAATGCGAGACACTCTGGACCACTCGGTGCCTGCACAGGCAGAGTGGCTGTGAGCCAGAGCCCCCGTGCCCCTCCCAGCATGTCACAGGCAGAGTCTTCACACTGGCCCTAGAATGTTTAGAATGACGGAGACTTTGATGTGTCCCACCAAGATAAAAAGGTTGAATTTCCCCTTCTCTTGCCTGCACCGTGGGTCTGTGTCAGGGCTGGCAGGCAGGGCCCAAAGCTCTAACACAAAGTTAGGGCTGGTGGTAGCTTGTGCCCTTCCAGAACATGGAGTTCAGCAGACGTGACGCTCTGGGGGTGCAGGGAATACAGAGGAAAGGAACAAGCCTGAACACACAACCCGAACTCTGCTCCCTTTCAGAGCACACTCCGCCTGTTCCCTTTACTGAACAGGAGCTACCCACCCCAGCCCTACACCTCATCTACTCCACAGAAAGACCCTCACAACTGCTCTATTTTCCAGCCCTTCAATCTCTTTTACAACCTCTTCACTCATATGCTCACCATGCCAACTGACATTATAGTGTAATTTGCTCAGACCACTCTCATCTCCTCCCACCCAACTGATGACCCCCCCCCACACACACACACCACGGCAAGAAAACCCCTTACTCTGCTGCTTACACAACCACACACCACACCACTGAAATGAGTCATACTGGATCTCACCAAGCACATGAGCACCTCTTTCTTTTGATCACACACATAACAACATAAGAACCACCTAACCTGCCTGACTCCAGGCGCATTCTGAGTTGCCTATTTCTCCATGTCATTGCAGAGAGACCACTGACACCCAGTTCAGGCGTTGTGGGTCACAGGGCTGTTCCAGTGATTTTCTAGGCATTTAAAGGGTGATGCTTGATGTTCCTTTGTGGGCCTGGGCTTGGGGAAAGTAGTCTAGTTCCATGGATTTCAACAGAGTTATTTTGATTTATACCAGCAGATCATCTGTCCTATAAGGTCATTTCTAGACAAACTTCCCTTTTCCCTTGTTGCTGGTGAAGTTTGGTCATTACTCTCTGATGTGCAATTTCTCACACGTAGGCCTGGTCTACACTAGACCTGAAGGGTCGGCTTATGCCAAGTCTCGGTGGTGGTCACACTGTGGGAGGCCAACGGGATCAAACGCTCCCATCAGTTGCCCTTAGTTCTTGCAAAAGGAGGAGCACCTGGTGCTGGCGGGAACTGCCCTCAGCATTTGATTTACGGGTCTACACTAGACCTGCTAAATCAAATGCCAGAAGATCGACCTCCAGAGCGTCAAGTGTCTAGTAAGTATAGATGTGACCTTAAGCTTCCCTATTTTAAAAAATGTGAATAGCAAATCTTCCAAAAGAACTGGGAAACACCATCACCATCACCACCACTCCCCCCCACACTGCTACAAGGACATAAGCATGTACAAAAATGTCATTTTTGGAAAGAGGGAGAATGAGACTTCCCAAATGGCTCTGATTGCTTTTCCTCATTGGAGAACACATTTCTTTACTAGCCCATTGACTACTGCACAGGCAGCACTAGTGCAGCACAAGGGTGCACAGCACTTGATGAACAAAAAGAAATTTTCAGTATTGAAATCAGGCTTGGCAGCGCCATGTGGGAAGGGAGACCAGAGATAGAGGGGAGTGACCCCGGAGAATGGGGAGAAGGAAGAGTGATCAGGATGCAGATACCTGCTGTGATCTGGCTCTCTGGTCCGGCCCCACTGCCTAATTATCTTCCAATCCCATTACTCCCTGCATGTCCATAAGTGCCAACCACCCGGCCGGCTGCACTCCAGACAAGCCTGTGACTGGCACAGCTCGCCCACACAGGGAAGTGAGGGGGAATGAAACCTCCTTAGTGCCAGGCCTGGGCTCCCTGGCTCCTTGCTGTGGCATTGGGTGGGGGAGGCCCAGCTGGGGCAATAGGCCCTGCTGCAAACGTGGGTGGGAATGGCCCAGGGCAGTGGACTGAGCTTTTCACTCCTTCCTCCAGTGCTGCCATCAGGTTCTAGGGAGATGTCTATCCTAGGGAGAGAGGGGCTGGTGCAGACGATCAGCCCATAGACAAAAGGGGAACCTCAGTCACATTTCCATCCCTGTGCTGCTGGAGGATGGTGTGGTTTTAAGCTCCCCATCAGCCAGGACAAATGTCAAATCTTTCACTGTATTTGCTTCTTTGAAGAAAATCCCTTGTGAATTTCCCTGTATTTCCTGCTCCAACATTTACCTTTGATTCTGAAGAGATAAACACTCAGGGCAAAGGAGCCCAGCAAAACCACCAGGGTCACTCCCAGAGACACCATCCAGGGATTCACCTTAGGGAAAAGGGAATCTGAAAAACACAAGCCCAGAGGCACCCACATTACTCAGTAAGCAAGGACAGCTCTGTGATGACTCCATCATGTGTAAGGCTGCCCCCGTGGGACCGGTCTGACACAAAGGAGGGAACGTGGCCCCATCGGAACTGCACCGAACACCACAAACCAACCAATAGAGCCACCACATTGGCGGATGAGTGAGCCTGGCTTAGCATGCAATGAGAGACAACGCTCGTTCTCCAGTCCCTTAGAAATGGGATAGAACTTGTGAGATCTGCTATGGGAACGTGGACAAGCCCTTTTCCCTCTCTGTGGCTCCATTTCCTGGCCAGCCTTCCCGGGGTTCTGATTATTTAGATGCTTGTTCTTTGTAGCAGGCCCTGACTGTCACTCTGTAGTTTTGTGCAGAGCACAGCACTGTGGGGCTACTGTCTCATACCAGGCATCTAACATTGTAACTGCTGCTAACACCAGTAACAGGTCTGAGTGCCCAGCGTTAAAGTCTCTGATCACCGGGTGTTATGCCAGGGAGCACAAGGCTGTCGATGTTGCAGAACATTCAGAAACTGCCGGGCTGTCTGAAAACAACAACTTGTAGATCCACTATTTCCCCCATAATCTGTCAATGACTCATGTTCACAATTCATCCAAACCACTGTGGAGGAAGCGATTCATGATTTCTGGCTCTCCAACTTAAACCTCAAATCTAAATCCCATCACTTCCTCCTGTGCTACTGCCCCCTCCTTCTCCCTGGCCTCAATGCCTCCCCTTCCCTGCAATGAAACCAAAGCAAAATACCACTGCCACCATCTAAGTTCCCAGACTGCATTATTGCCCACTTTACAGCCCTCTATTGGCTGCCCTTTCCCAAAGCAGCAGACATGAACCTCCTGTCTTCACCCCTCCAGGTGAGGCCACCCCACCTACCAACTCTGCACAGCACCACTAGGTCAGGTGTCAGGTTCAGTTAATTGATTGTGCCAACGTCAGTCCCCCCTCCCTACCAGTACTAGGCGTGTGCAACAAGGTATGTTGGGCTTTCACACACGCTGCCCCACAGAGTGGGAAACACTCCAGCCAAGGCCCATAAAGTCGCCAACTTGTCCTTCTGGTTTCACCTCCAAAGTCATCTCTGCAATGATGCCATCTGAGAGTGTCTAAGCAGCTGGTGAGCTGGGAGCATCACCCTTTCAGTCAAGGATTTAAGAAACAAAACTCGTGTGATGTTGAAATCTGGGTTGCCCTGAACTCAATCAAACTTTGCCATTGACTTCAGTGGGCCAAAGATCTGCCTGGAATCTGAGCCTTGCAACAGAATGCAGAGTTGTTCCTTCACCCATAAACGGTCAATAGAATATCTAACAATCATACAATTGTGCAGAAGCGGAAGGATGTTTGGCTGTTTGTCTCCTGCACCTTCCCTTTACTCTTCACTCCAATAGAGTTAAAGGTTTTGGGTGAGCCATTCAAAATCTCCTCAGTCAAAGGAAGCAAGTAGAAAGTACCACATCCTTCAGCCAGGTCAGCGCCCTTATGGCATTTCTGGCAGAGACATAAAGTAACTAGATTGGGCTGATAACTCTGTACAGTACAGGCGGGAATTTCAAAAGTGTCTCATGTCTAGTCTACAAGGGTACGTCTACACTTGCTCCCTATCTTGAGATAGGGATGCAAATGCAGTGTACCAAAATAGCTAATGAAGTGGGGATTTAAATATCTTGCACTTTATTAGCAAGATCTCACCTGGCACGCTAGTGTGAATTGCAGCTGATTCGAACTAGGAAGTGCACACTGGGATGCATTAGTTCAAACCAAAGCTCTTGGTTTGAACTAACGTTACTCCTCATTTTTTGAGCAAGTGTAGATGTACCCCAATAGAAAACATCTCTGACAGCAGAGCCATGTGAGTTGGGGTTGTGATGTTTTATCAACAGAGTTATTCTGATGAAAGCCTGACTGCAGTCACAGTTATACTGGAAATCCTGCCTTTACATGCTCATTTAGGTTACGTCGGCTTGGGACTCTGGCATAAGATAGACTAGCAAAAGTACACTTTAGCCAGTATATCTGTGTCCACACCAGTGTTCCTTGTAAGTTGTGTGCTTGGGCAGTCACTCAGGAGAGATTCAGATGCCACCAAGTTCATGAGCAGAGTGCACAGAGCACCCTCAGTCAGCAGAATGGCTGTGTCTAGACTGGCAAGATTTTGCACAAAAGCAGTTGCTTTTGCGCAAAATCTTGCCACCTGTCTACACTGGCCGCGAGTATTTGCGCAAGAACACTGACTTTGTACTGTACAAAATCAGTGGTTCTTGTGCAAATACTCCGACGCTCCTGCTCAGGGATAAGCAAGTATTCTTGCGCAAGAGGGCCAGTGTAGACAGCCAAGTTAATTTCTTGCGCAAGAAAGCCTGATGGCTAAAATGGCCATCGGAGCTTTCTTGCGCAAGAGAGCGTTTACACTGGCACGGATGCTTTTGCACAAAAGATGTCTTTTGTGCAAAAGCATCCGTGCCAGTGTAGACGTTCTCTTGCGCAAATACTTTTAACGGAAAAACTTTTCCGTAAAAAGTATTTGCGCAAAATCATGCCAGTCTAGATGCAGCCAATGTGTTTCTACTGGCAGTGCACATCTGCACATTTCTTCAGTGCACATAACATTTATTCTGCACGCAGATGGAAAAAAAAGAGAGAGAACATTGGCCCACACTGGAAGTGTTTTGCTGGTTGAGCTGTACTGGCAAAATCTTCTTACTGTTGATACGACTTAAATTATTTATGTGCACAAGAAAAGGTCACACCATTACCTAACTGGGTTTCTTGGAGTTTTTTGTTTATAAGCTTGTTTTAAATACACGCCATATTTAACCTGATCAGGATGTTGTTCTCTGTTTGTTGTTGTTGTTGCTCAGTAGTGTGTGGTTTTTGATGGTCACTGACCTGAAATATAAAATAATGTTGATTCCTTTTCTTGGCTGAGGCGGGTGTTCCTGACCAAACAGGACACGATCCGATTGGAATTTTCCATTATAATGGCAGAAGTTTCTGTTCTATACAGTCCATTGGCTTCTCGTGAATTTGTGTGAGAGGCTGAAGGAACGGCCTGTCCACTGAGATCTCTCCACACCACCTTGGGCTCCGGGTACCACCCAGCCAATCGGCACACCACTCGGATCCCTCCATCCTGGTAATCCTCAATGGACACATGAGGAGCAGAGCCTAAAGCTAGAGACAAATGTGTAAATCCATGTTGTTTTATGCACATATTGAACCTAGAGAATAAGAAATTAAACTTTCCATTTTTTCTCAAATGCCCATGCACTCAGGGAAGTAGATGAACAAGAAACAAATTATTTCATGGAGGGGATGGAAAGTTTTCTTCTCAATATTGTTCCCTCCCAAAATCCACTCAGACATGCCATTTTGGGACTACCGGAAATCCTTTAATTGATCATTGAATTTAGCACTAACAGATCTTGTAAAAAAACAGAGTAAAATAATCCTTGTATTTCAAATGTGCCTTCAGGTGAAATGTCACCTCTTCTATTATGGAAGCTCTTCTACTTGACCCTGCAAATGCAGAACTAAAGCAGAAGGGGAGAAAAAAGTTGAGCATAATCATCTTTGTGACAGTCCCCCGCCCCCCCTCTCCCCTCAAAACGCTTTAGAAAATAGACGTTTGGACACAGATATGCCTAACTCAAAGGTGCTTTGGACAAATTATCTCACGTAACACAGCAATCTTCACAGAATCACAGACATCCTAGAACTGGAAGGGACCTCGAGAGGCCATCAAGTTTAGGCCCCTGCCTTCACGGCCAGTGTAAATGATTGTTACTTGGGCGAGCAACCGGTGTGCACAGTCCCCCTTTCATTGCCAAAGGGAGCTCACCAAATCATTCCTTTAGAGTTCTGATCCTATTTGGGGAAGGGTATCCTGGGAAGCTGAACCCTAAACTGAATTTTCCTGAGACCTGAAGAGATTCAGTGTCTGCACTGCTTCTCGGGGAAGAAAGAGGCAGGGATCTTAGCTCAGGGAGACCAGGGAACTGGCCCAGCAGAACCAGGCAGTGAGGAGCCCTAGAGAGCGGGAAGGCGAGTGGCAGTGGCTGTGTCAGCACTCTGAGAGGAAACCCCAACGGGTCATCTTCTTACCAGTCCCCGTCACAATCTTCAACTGCCTGACTGATGAGAATCAGTAGAGAACTGCCCAACATGAGATGAATTCTTCCTCCTCCAAGTTGCGTGGCGTGTTCTCCAGAAAGCAAGGGACCCTCGGAAGGTGATTCCAGAGCACCCCAGCGCAGGAAGTCGTGTGGTTCTCTTTTTCAGATTAGGGATGCCAGTGACTAGTCAACTAGTTAACTAACCACTAAGCAGGAGCTTACCAGTTAGCACTATCGACTAGTCTCCCCCTCCCCCAGGGCTCTGCAATGTTAAGAGACTGGGGAGCCAGTGCACAGAGACATTGGTTCAGTCCCCGCTCCTGTGGGTCTCTGATCAGTCTGCATCACTTTCCCCGCTGCCGCTTCACACAGATAGGGCCAGGAGAGCCAGCTCGCAAAGATCAGACTTTAGAGACCTGCGGGAGCAGGGACTGAACCAATGTCTTTGAGCACCGGCTCCTCTGGCCCTGTCGATGCGGAGCGGCAGCGGGAAAGTGACACCAGGACCTGGCACAAGCCAGGCACTGGAACTGCCTCCCCCCATCGACTAATCGAGTAGTTGATAACCAATCCACCGACTACTCTATTAGGAAAGTAACCGCATGTTAACATCCCTATTTTAGATATGGAGTGTCTGGTGCCCAGAGGCA